TTTTTCACATTGGGTGTTAAGGCAGGGGAATACTACCCTCTTTTAACAACTGGACAACTCTATATTACTAATTCGGGACTCCTGCCGCTTTCAAGTTTCAAACATTTTTTCACATCAGAACAGAGTTTTTTTTTTTTTTGAAAAAAAAAAAGAAAGAAGAAGAAAGAAAGATGTGGGTATCTTCACGCGTTCTCTTCGGCCGTCATGGATGGTGCCATAAATAAAGATTAAAAGTTACTACAGTACTTCTACTGTTGTAGAACTGTACATTTTTTTTTTTTTTTATGTAATTAAGCCCAATAGTGAGTGATTGCGGTCTGAACATAATCGAGCAGAATTAACAGCAGAGAGTCTGTTTAAGAGTTTGGTTTAAATTAGCAGCGCTTTCATCCTTATTATATTAATAGATAAATACTAATGCCAAACTGGAGTGAATCTTATGTCCTATGTTGACTTTTCTTTTGACAAGCAGACAAAGGCAATTAGGTAAAAGGTCGAGTAGGCCTCCCTACGTGTTTCACTCTCAAGATAACTCCGGTCCTTTTCTTTTGCATTTGTTTTCCTGATTCGTTAGTAGAAGTGAAAATTGTGACGGTTATGTTTGGAAGGAGCCGTGCTGCTTCGAATTTGTTTTCGTTGATTATTCTTCGGCTTTAAAGTGATGAAGTCGAAAGAATCGCGTCATAACTTTGTGATAATTGTAAATTGCACACGACTTACAATCGCGACTTGTGCTCAGGGTGGAGACACAAAACGTCGCGTCACACGACAAAGTAAAAATTATTGAAAGAACCGGTCCACTCCTAGGACAGCACAATTCAAAAATCTCAAGTTCTCTGATAAGTTTGACGCGCTTTTTTTTTTTTATAAGAAAAGAGAACAAATTTTATTAATGAACTAGCCCGCCAATTGTTTTCCAAAATCTACCTGTTTAGAACCTGAATTTTTTGAAAGTTTGTCTAAAACTTTATTGTAGTGCACTGAAAAAAATTTTTATAGAAGTTTTTGCTTGTAGAAGTTTTTGGAATGTGAGAAATTTTGTAGAAATTTTTGTAAAATAAAAAACTTTTTTTCCTTTTCTTTTTTTCTTTCTTTTTCTCTTTCTCTTTCTTTTTCTCTTTCTCTTTCTTTTTCTTTCTTTCGTTTTTCTTTTCTTTCCTCTCCTCTTATTCTTCTTCCTTCCCCCTCCCTTGAGGTTTAATTAGAGAAATTTTTTTTGAGGTTATTGGCGCCGGAATAGGTGACTGCCGCCGGGAGAGGTGGTGGAGGTGGTGGTTGGTGTGGTAGGTTGGGTGAGGGAGAAAGAAAAGTTTTTGAAAAATTTTTTGTGTATAGATTTTTGAAGTGTGTAGATAAAAAATTTTGAGAAATTTTTTGGATTCTTATAGTAAAAGTTGTTAAAAAATTAGTAACTAAAAAACTAGGGTGCCAAACAGGCCCCTATTCTTTGTAGCGATTTTTTTTTTTTTTTTTTGCATTAGTAGTTTTAAATGTATGCCACATATATATGATTTGAATTTTAAAATTTGAATTCATATTATATGATATGATGTAAATTTGATTGTGTGAAAAAAATCATGCTAATTCATGAGATACCTTATTTGATTTTCTGAGAACCCAATTGATATTAGCAACATTCGTAGCAATTCAAATGTCATCCATAATTGGGCCAATATTACTAGATCTTGACACTTGGGTCTATAAATTAGTATAGAAAGAAAAAGAAAGTAACGAAGAAAGAAGCCAGTGAGTTATTGGAAATTAGAGAAATCGGTTACCCAATTCGATATCCCAAGGGGGTATTATTTATAGATAAGATTGATTGATTTGTATTATCATGTTACAAATCTAGCAATTTACTCTCTACCTTTTTTGAGCAGCCAGAACAGCCATTTTTGTGCAGTTTAGAACCCTAAATAAATAAATAAAAAAATTACACCAAAATTACCAAACAACCCCTGAATATTTTGCCAAGGATTAATTCAACGTGGTACAAGTGGTTCCAAGAAGCGCTTGAAATTTAACACTACAGCACCTGCAAACGAAACTGGTCTCCTTCCCGTTGAGCGTTGACGCCGTTGGATTCTGGATTGCTCCTTCTGTCCGACCTATATTACGGAAGGGCCTAATTGGGTTGAAGGGGATTAGAAAGAGAGAGGATTTCAGACCAAAGGAATGCACTGTTTTGTGCATTCTTTGACCTTTACTCCGACCTTATATTTCACCTGGCAATCAACTCGAACGAGAAGAGTTTTAAGTTAGCTCCCATCTTTAGTTGTTCTTGTAAATTATCATGCTGCGATCCAATGATGCATGATTAATGAAAGGTAGGAAAAAGCAGAATCAATAATTCAGAAACAATGAGCACCTTTTAAATCAACTCCACACGTTCTTTGTTACTTTTGGAAGTGATATTGAAGCATGCCCATTAGGGCATGTCGATTTGTTTGCCAACTGTGATCTGTGCTTGCTTGTATTTTGACGAAGAAAAGCCTGGTTGGATCAAACAAAAGAAAGAAGTTTCAGTGCTTTCTTTGGTCGTCTATCATCCCCTACCAAGGCACTCCTAAAAGAGTTGGGCCTGCTCCGCTTTTCTGGTTGCTTTTTCTATCAATCTCACGTACTAATTTATTTCAGGTGGCTTTTTCTATCAATCACGAGAAATTCTTTTCATCTTTTCTACTTAGCTCTTCCTCATCCTTTCTTACAACAATCCGAGGAACTCAAATGCTCCTCCCCGTACCTAAAAGATTCTAGGTTATCTTATTTCCAACAACAAAATTATTGTCCTGGAAAACGAACTGCAACTTGTACTCTTAATCAGCACAACTCAAATAGACCTGTGAAAGAGAAGTTGCGGTTGCAGAAAACTGAAAGGAATGTGTTGCAGGCACACACCAATACGTCCATATATTCGATCTTATACCAATACTAAATTGTTAAAGGTTGTATCATCCTTCCTCATTCCCTACTCCAATCTGCAGAACACCAGATTCTTAATACGTTAAAAGAGAGACTTTCTTTCAGCAAAACCGCCAGATGAAAAAGAGAGCAAAACCAAACGAATTTCAAGCTTTCAAAGCCAACCAACTACAAGAATGTCATTCCTGCTAAAGTTAGTACAAAGCCTCAAAATATGATCTGTCTGAATAGCACAGGCTTTCCATTTTCCATGTTAGTCCACTCCGGCCAAATGGAGGAGGAATATAGATTATACATAAATTAAGTCCTCCTCAACTACTGAATCCTGCAAAGGGAAGTTCAATTAGATGATTGAATCAAATATCCACTGATCTTCGCAGCTGAGTCTGGTCTTGTGGTGATCACAGAGTATCCTGAAGCAAGGCTCTAAAGTAAGGCAAAAACGTACAAGCAATGGATGATTTAACTGTTTGATTGGTTCAATCAATTGAAAAAAAAAAAAAATATCTGCAAGGTACATGGAGACCTGGGATCTAGTAATTGATAATCCAAGTTAGACCTTGTTTTTAGAAGTTTCACTACCAAATCAATGGAATGAAGTTTAGGTTAACATGAAAAGGAAAAAGTAATCATCTAAAATACAGAAAAGGTAAATCTTGGACGCCATTTTAGCAATTCTACACATACAAGCCTGATTTGACGCCACTCTCTCAGAGAAACATCCTTTTTCATCTGACAAGGAGCTGGACCAGTCTGCAACATTTACAGGAGTTCACATCATTTCTTCTTGAGATCTTCTAACACATCGGCTAACTTTTTTCTTGAAGCCCTCCCTATTATCTCTCCATTCTTTCTGCATTTGGCAACAGGAGAAAAGGCATAAGATATTAGTTCCGTCAAAAGCAGCCCAAACACAGAAAATTTATTTCATACTGGCAAACATGTCAGAAGACTCTGCAAACAACAAATTTCAACCGTGACAAGAGCTACTTTCCTTGTCAGGAAACAGTATTCACAGTGACATCCTATTCATCATTGGGTAGCAATTACCAAGGAATGACATTAACAAGCACAAACACTTCAATCTCCGTGTCTTACAAAAGATCATCTCCAAAAGGAAAAATGGTTGAAAAAAGAATGACCTAGAAATCATACTGTTGATCTTCAACACCTTCAAATGCACAACTAAGCAGGTCAAATCACCAATATCAAAAAGGGAAGTCAATCAAGGCCAAGCAAGCAATACCATTCATTTTGTTATTGATACAAATCTAAGATTTGAAAAGATGAAAGACTATGTTCTCGACTCCTCATAGTTGGAGACAACTGCACGCAAAATCAAGATTATCCAAACACAAGGCAAACTAGTCCTTTTGAATCACCTAAATCTCAAAGCAAAATTTAGGGGTTGAGGTATTAGAAGCTTCCACTGCTCTATGGGAGAATATTTGTAATGCCTCTGCAGAGATCAATTAATTAGATAGAATAGTGCCCATGGACATCATTCAGAAATATTCACAAAATTCCATCATTGTAAAAGCAATTTTCCCAGCTAATGACCAAGATTTATACCTAAAAAAGAGAAGGGAAGAACATAATAATATCCCCTGAATTAACTTCATCAAAATACTTACAGCAGCTTCAACGTTGGCTGGAGATTCGTCATTAGGACTTGAAAGCATTGATATGATGCTCAACACTATACTCTCCACCTGAAAGAGTCCTTTTGATCAACTTCCAAAGCCAATATTCTATTAGAAAAATTAAGTTAAACATGTAACTTATTTTGATCTATGTCAATGATATATGAAACTTAGTTGGCTGGCAATTGACAAAATGGTAAGAAAACAAGAAATTCCAGATCGAAGCAGAAATGTACAAGGATAGGTTCTTCACCCTGATCAAACATAGGTGATAAACTGGGAAGGCTTCCGGCATCCAAGGGAACCTTAATTCCCACCCTCGTAGATTTTGATCGTTGATATAAGTGGCCAAGTGATAAAGTCCACAAACAGAATAAGTTCACAATTTTAAGCTTCTTAAGAATTTGCACCAAATTTTCATCATTTTCCTTCTCATTTTTTCCCATCTAGAAAAAACAAATAGATAAGAATCTCTCTCATCTATGTACCTTGTCAAATAATACCACTCTAGTCAGTAACTCTCAACTGCATGCACAAAACAAAAAGAAAAAGAGCCAGAACCCTGTCCAATATCTCCTTGTATTCAGTTGTTCTTGTCCCTGTGGACAAAACTGTAAAAGTTCCGAAGCATAGATTTCTAAAGGAGGTTTATTTGGGGTCTGATACCAGCACCAAAATCAGGTTTCTTTTTAAATCTTACACTTAGCCACCACATGAAAAACTCCACCAAATACTCTTTTCCTAAACAGAATGGCAGGAGAAGCACCAACCTGTCATCGCAGTCACTAGGATCAGGACAAGTAATTTCAGCCACCAAAGTATACCATTACATGATTTTCACAGTGAAAGTACCTCAATTTTTACACAAACTATCCTCAACCATACCAAAATTAGGAGCACAACAGCATCACATTCAATCATTTAGCATGACCACCCTAATATTCACATACTTTTACAACCTAACATCAAAGAGAGCTTCGCGCCACAGAACTTTTGCTGTAACTGTACATTTTTCTGATGGGCCTGTGAAGGTACTCAGTAATAACTTTTTGGTAACATTTTTCTGATGGGCCTGTGATGGGCCTGTGAAATGTTCATGTCTGCCTGTCCCCACGTCCCCCTAACTTATGAAAAAGAAAAAGGTAAGAAAAATCAAAAGTGAAAGAGACTAGCAACCTTAACAATGAGTAAAATGAAAAGTAGAAGTGAACAAAGGATTTTGTTGACTAAAAAAGAGTAATGCATTGTCCAATATCAAATTTGTTAGCTACAATAGGAACCAGTATGTAGATGATTTAGGAAGGCAGATAGAGACCCAGAACTTGAAGAATGGAAGAGATAGACAGGGAAGCTGAACCAAAAGATTGCAAAGTTTGTCATACTGTACCCTAAGAAAAATGATAATTTTCAGTTGTAATTTTAACAAAAATTTTCAGCTGTCTACAGTAAATAGGAATATCTCCCTGTGATGCACATCTCTATGGATAATGCACCTCACAACACTCAATTCCTGCATCTACCATCTGTGTACCTCTATTCTATAGATAACTTCATGGTAAGAAATAGGATAAAGAAATAATGCAATGAGAAAATGCAAAAGGAGGTAAGCATGGAAATCCATTGAAAGTTAATAAAATCATAGAATGAACATTGACCCGAGGACTAGCTGCAGCCATACCGTATGGACAGGTGACCAGCGTTCACTAGCAAGCTCGTATCCATTTGGGTCATCACCAGGAGGATGAAGAATTGAAATGCAAACCTTGCCGTCAGTATAAACTGGAGGTCATTCAAAATTTCAGCAATTTAGGCTCATCGTAAAATTAAAAATCTGCATTATAATATAAAATAAGAAACATTTAAACCCAATAATAAGAGTCCAAGGTGCATGAAGAACACAAACCATTAGGGTGCCAGATCTCTGAAGTAAACTTCACTGTAGGAGGACTATTTGGATAGTTCTGGGGAAAGCTCATGATAGCATTAAAAAAACCTCCCTCGCTACACATAAAAATTTCACTGTCAGAAGGCCAAAAACAGATCCTTTTCTCAAACCAATTAATTAAAATTTATTCTGGAATCATTCAATCCTTGCACAAAAGTCTCAAATAAACAGTATACTATAAGAGACGAGTAAATAAATTGTACACCTCACAGATTAACAGATCAGTGGGGCGGTGGCTCTCTTAGCTTTAGAACTGCTACTATTAATAGAATCAAGTAAATATATTGACCCCAAAAATGAACATTGTTAAAAACCAAAACAATGCCGCATGATTGGTACACTGCACAATGGATATATCTGTATTAGGTTTTGGAAGAGGTCTAGCTCTAATTGCATGAGGCAATCACCACTATGAGCTCTAGATATATCATATGATTCAGCTTTACCAGGAAACCTTATTGTACGTTCAATTCATGACACATATTGGAGGAAGACAACAATGCCTGACCTTTCACTTCACTATAGCAAATCCATTTTTATAGGATGCTGCAAGCACTTGCAAACCAATACCACCCCACAATCAATAATTCCTTCCCAAACCCTGCTCCTCACCCTAGGGGAGAAGAAAACAATAAAAGAAACGATTCTGGACAATTGAATTTCGTAAATACACGCGTTGTATGTATGACCTGATGGGCAACCCCTTTTGGCACCTAAGCCCTGGTGAGAAGGAAAAAATCCAAAAACCAACAATTGGCAACAAATGCATCAGAGAATTATCCGCACTGATTGAACATGCCCCTAGCTAACCCCCCCCCCCCCCCAAAAAAAGGCCCACAATAAAGAGAAAAACAATAAAGAGAAATTTTATTTGCAATGGCAAAGATTCTACCCTTTCCTTCCCAAAGATAGAATAACAATAAAAAAAGTGTAAAACAAACTCTGTACAAAAATGAGCAAGTAGAATTCCCCTAATTTCACGCCATTAAAACTCAAAATCCTTCCATAAGAAGTAATAAAGCACTTAATGGAACGAATCTACGACTGACATCAGAAGACAAACTATGACCGAAAACAATTGATTAGAAATCCAATCCCTAAGCACCTAACAAAGAGAAGTACTCACTACAAAGTATCAGGGGGTCCAATAATTGTAACGCTCCATTCAAATAAGTTCTCTTCATCAACCAAACCAGCTGAAAATCCGTCCACAGGGTTTTTACAGAGATCTGCAAGCAAAAGGCAGCGATCTTGGTTAACAAATTTTGATATTTACGAAATACCAAAACCCTTTAAGCCAATTAAATTTCAATTCAAGATAATTAAAAAATCAAAAAGGGTTTATAATTCTTCATACCTCTGAGCTGCTTTTGGAGTAAAAGACTGGCTTGTGAAGCCGACGCCATGAAAGAAAAACAGACAAATACAATTAAAGAAATTAAAGACAAACAAGAAATGGAAAAGGGTTGAGAAAGTGGGAAGGGAACGGGGGAAGTTATTTGGAGAAGAAGGTTCTAGGGTGGGGAAAGAGATGGGAGGGAAAGATAATCAGGGAGTTTTATATATTGTGCTAGTATTATAGTAAGTAAATTTATTTAGTGACTAGTACCGTCTGTCTCTTCAGATGTAAATGCATGGCGTTATATATGAGGGAGAAACAGGATAGATTTCCCTAAATAAGCCTATCCTGCGTTATATAGGAGGAGAAAATGAAGGAGAAAAGTTTCTGGTTTTAGTATTCCACTCTTTCTACCTTGGTCGAGGGTTGATCCAAAAGTTTCCCCCAGTGGCAGAAGGTAGTAATGTAAAATGGTAATGCGGCGTTGATCATTGACGGGGATCGGTGATTGTATTTCTTATGAAGTAAGGTTGCTTTTGCTTCATTATGTTAAATGGTAACCTAAAGTTTGGTTTTGTGCATGTTTCATGTAAATTTTGTTTCCCAAAATGTAGCTAGGAATTATTCTGTTTAGGTTTAAAAAATGGAAAATGTGTTCAGGATCAATTCCAAAGGATGCACCACTACATTATCTGGTTTCTGATAACCTATTAACCAACGAAGGATGGTAAGATCAATCATAATGTAATGTGGATTTTGGTCAAAATAAGTGTAAAACGTATGATTAAACAAGAGGCATTTTGTCGGTATAATTTATAAATAAAAGGCATTTTCTTCTTTTTTTGTTTAAGTATAAGTAGAAGGGTTTGAATTCGAAACCTCTCATTTATATTCCCCTGAAAAAGTATCATCTAACGAGCACCTTCCCTTATTATATGGATTTGTTTTATTGCAGCAGTAGTTTCGAATTAGCGCACAATTCTAAAAAATCAGCCACACCTACTAAATTAAAGGCTCTCTAATAAAGTACTAATCATGTTACCCTGGACTATGATTCTCCTCAACATGCAGCTCATAATTTCATTAGGGCATGGTGGTCCTAGTATTAGTCTTGAAGTAATCAATTAGAACCCTTACTTGTAGATTAAGATCTATAAGATCAAAATCTTCAGCTCAAACCCATAAGTGCACCCTGCCAAAGAACAAACACTTGCATGTATCTTCAAAATATTCTATGAAGAATAATTAAAATGCAATGTCTGATATTTTGGTGTTTTAAACTTTAGAAGTGAAGCTTACCCTTACTTTTTTTTTTTTTTAAAAAATAAAGTTAAGTATTTACACAAATTTTTTGTCATTTGAAGATTTGAAGTCAAACCGCACAAAGAAAAGCTTAACTCGAAAAATACACAAATCAAAGATAAAAGGATATACTTAGTTGAAGGATGACTAAATTCACCAAATGGAACCCAAAAACGAAGAATGCATTCTTTGCTTGCGCAACACTTGAAGGTTTTCGTTTAAACTTGCAATAACAATTATCTTCACGCTATATATATTAACCTCTCAAGTCATCCTTGTTTCCTCTTGTTCTAATAGCCCTCGTCCTTTTTTGTACTTCTTGTTCCCAAATTTGTGGTCAGAAATGAAAGACTTTCATCACCTTATATCTGAATGACAGAACTCTTGGGTTCTTTGAGCTAAATATGAAATTTTACCGTCTTGCTGCAAAAGTTTCTCCAGATAAATTTTGTTGGCTAGGAGACTTCGTTAATTAACTTTTTGTATCTCCGTTGGACGGGGAGTTGATTTAGCCAAACAACAGAAAAGAAAAGTATGGTCTTTTGAGTTAAACCTATGTAGTAATATATACATACAAGAGCATATTACAGCACGGCACGAAAGAGAATCTTTTTGAAGAGTCGTCGTAGCTTATTTGATGATGACTATTGTAATCATGAAAACGATGAAATTGATGACCAGTTTTCTTTGGTTGGAAGTTGCTTTCATGAATACTATGGCCTTTTGGGATGGTGGCATGTCGGAAAGATAAAGAGATTCTTGTCCCGTTTGAAGAGAGAACCATATAAATATGACCTCATCCTTATCAAATTCTGAAATGTAAGAGTACGGCACTCCATATGATCATTCCATGACCTTGCTTTCTTTGTCCTTAGTCAGAAAAGGTGGATTCACGTATTCTTGATTCTTGCATCTGTGCAGACGATGTTTCAAAGTTGTTCGGCCAAACTAATCTGTGTACGTGAACATCGACGCCGGATTTGTACATAAAAGTCTGAGAATAGTCCTGTATCATATGGCAGCTTCAGTTCAACATATTGTTCTTTGACAGGTGATAACTTAGGTATTTTATTCTTTACTATATTTGCGAACCAAAGGTCAAATAAAAAACCTGCATGAAAACGACTGCAACGGCAATCTACAACCAAAAGGATTGAAGATTTTGTTGCGAGCTTTAATCAGCTTTAAGCACAAAAAAAAAAAAAAAGGAATAGAAGCATATGAAGAAGAAAACAGGAAACCCTCAAGGATCTAGCTCAAAAGTCCTAGTTGGTGAGCTTTGAATAGTTTAGCTCCAGGTGAAGAATTTTTTCGGGGAAAACAAGGCATTGAGAGGAAAAAGAAGAAAAGGACACATCTGCTGTTGATGAAATTGACAACAACAATGTAATATTATAACAAAAGTTCATGTGTCGTCCTCGTACGTCGATCTTGATCTAAGGCCAGAAAGAAAGATTGATTGCATAATTTTGACATTTTCCTGTAAACAAAAAAATTCCTGTAACCACATCTACGGGCTTAATAATGATATCTCCATACATGTATAGACTCTTGCTGGTACAAAGTGTTGAGTGCGCTATGACTTTTGTGTTCAAGAGTTTTGATCTTCTCGTTACTTATAATTCACCTTTGACTTGAAATTTGGCCTTACAGAGCTGTTCGTTTCATGTTTGTCTGCACTCAATCGCCAATCGGTGTTCTCAGCCCCAGAAAAAGAAAAAAAAAAGAAAAAAGACTCGAGCCAGTGTGGTAACTTTTGGGTCAAAAATCGGGTAGGAAGAATATAAGAATAATTATGCATCCTCATTACCCAAAAAAGCCCAAAAAAAAAAAAAAACTGTGCATGCCGCAACAAATAGAGCATCGTGGACTAGGTCTATGCACTATATATAGGCAGGACTCAGGAGCGTCGGTTCCCACTTGCAATTGCTTGGCTTATCCAGAAATAATTCATTGTAAAGTTGCCCAGATTGCCAAATGGCTAGGGATTTCATTGATGGCACGGGCGAACTGGCGAAGCCTTTGGCAATGCAATAATTTAAGGTGCAGATTTGATCTTTCTTTTTCGGATGGTGCCATGTTAGGCTAATTGTTTCCTTTTTCTTTTTTTTCAGACAAAAGTTTTGATGGAGTCAATTCAATCATCACCACTACGAATCAGAACATGTCTCCTCTAAAATCTCCACTATCGATTAGGTTAATTGTTTTGTGGCCTCTTAACAATGTACTGGTTTGCAGACCACTGAAATCTCCCCTACATCCCTCATTGAATGCTTATCTACTAACTTCTAAGGTCTAACATAGCAAAATGGAAAAACTTAAGAAAAACAAAAACGGAAAAAAATACTCAAACGATTGGTGCTTTTTTTTTTTGGTTAATTACATTTACCTCCCCTGAGGTTTGACCATATTACTAATCAATCCCTGTAATTTGTCCAAATAACGGTCTCACCTTTTGAATGATCAAACATTTAACAAAAAATCCCTTAATACAGAAAATGCCCTTATTGAGGCCATGTTGCATTAAAAAAAGAACATATTTTTATTTTATTAACCCTGAAGCAATCCAAAAAAATAGAAAAAATGTTTGCTTATTATTTTATAAAAACCATGGGCTTGTTTGGAAGTGAAGTTTTTGGCCAAGTTTTTTAGCTACTAGTTTTTTAACAACTTTTGCTACAGGAACCCCAAAAAACTTATCAAAGTTTTTTACTTACACACTTCAAAATAATACACAAAAAACTTTTCCTTCAACTTTTCTTCTTTTTCCTCCCCCACCCAACCGGCCACCACCTCCACCACCACTTCCCGCGCCGGTAACTATTCAGGCCAACTTTTGCCGGCCTTCCTCTTTTTTTTTTTTTTCCTCTCCCTCCCCTCCCCCTTTGACCGATATGTTGGTTTCCAAAATCTCTTTTTTCTTTTTTTTTCTTTCTCCCTCCCCCCTCCCCTCTTTCCCTCTGCCTTTCCCCGCCATCTTCCCCGTCCCGCAACTTGGGGAGAAGGAAAATTGCAAAAAAAATATAAATAAATAAAAAATACACTCGGCTGTTGCTGCTTATTCTGCTGGCAAGATAAGGAGAGGAGAGGGAGATAGAACATTGGAAAAAAAAATCATTTCTGTTGCTGCAAAACTCATGTGCAAAACTCAGGTGGCGGCAGAGACAGAGGGAGAGGGAGGGGTGGCGGGGAAGCTTTTGCAGGGGTGACGGACAAAAAGGGTGGTGGGAAAGGGAGGGGTGGCAGGGGAGCTTTTGCAGGGGTAGGGGAGGGGTGACGGGGCAGAGGGGGAATGGGCAAAGGGGGTGGCGGGAGATGGCATTGGTGGAGTTGCTGCTGGGGGTGGCGGAGGTAGTGGGGAAGGGGGAGGGGGAAGGAAGAAGAAGAAGAAAAAGAAGAGAGGAAAGAAAAGAAAAAGGAAAGAAAGAAAAAGAAAAAGAAAGAGAAAGAGAAAGAGAAAGAAAAAAAGAAAGAAAAAAAAAGGAAAAAAAAAAGTTTTTCACCCTACAAAAACTTCTACAAAACTTTTCACCTTACAAAAACTTCTACAAAATTTTTTCAAAAACTTCTACAGTGCACTACAGTAAAGTTTTAGACAAACTCCAAAAAAACTCAGGTTCCAAACAGGCCCCATATTTTTGCTTCCATAAATATTTTTGAATCAATAATTATTTTAAATCTTAAAAATGAATGTTAAAAATTAGATAAATTGAAAAAAAAAATAAAAAAGAAGAAATTATTTTAATTCCTGAAGTATGGTTCAAATTGAGGAAAACATGTCTTGTGCTCTCTGCAACATGTCTTGAACCACAAATTCGAACCATACTTGAGGATTTAAAATAATTGCTTCTTTTTTATTTTTCTTTCAATTTATCTAATTTTTAAGATTTAAAATAATTATTGATTCAAAACTATTTATGGAGGCAATGATATGATTTTTATAAAATAATAAGTAAAAATTTTTTCCTATTTTTTAAGATTACTTGAAGGTTAATAAATAAAAATATGTTCTTTTTTTAATGCAATATGGCCTCAAAAAGGGCATTTTCAGCA